AAAAACAAACAGATTGTCAGTTGTTCAAATTTTGAAATATTGGAGTTAGTCCATCTCTGACTTCCAGGAGGCAGGAGGAGGGAAGATTTACTTATAACGAATATAGAGTATGAGCTATCAAACGATTTCCAATACGCTTTGCACCAGTGTATGTGAAAACTAAAGAGAATCAGTATTAGTGCGAGCAGGAAACGACTTATATTAACGTTGTCGTTTATACGACCCAGCCAACAATACTACGCGGTCGAGTAAACTAGTTACAAAAAATGAATAGTCACTTTTTACCAAACACAATTTTATAATAAATCCACTAACAATTACAAACAATATTGTATGTAAATATTTACTCATTACACCAAACAAGGCGTTTAACTAGTTACATAACTAGCCGATTATCCAATACTTTTACGGAAACATAAATTTCAATCACATATATCACTTACGTCCACGAGACTGAAAGGGCGAGGATGTACCCCAAGGTAATTAATTATTCAAAATCAACCCTTGAGCTATCTTGTCCACACGCCAAATGACGGAAAAAAAAAACGAACCGAAGCCGAGGATCAGAGCGCGCGACTAAAACGAGATGCAAAGATTAAAGAACATTGAAAACCGGTACAGCGTGTGCTGAAATACAAAGCCAATACCTGAAAATGAGGGCCCTTCCTGACCTATTAATCAGTTTGATGGGATGCATTATCTATTTTTTTGTCGGTGGTATCTATAACGACAGACGACTGGTCGCAGAATAATTTTTTTTTTAAAGAACATGAAGAAGATAGAAACGGATTACTATTGTTGTAGAGATCATAAAACTGGCGGAGGTTAATAATATAATGGATTAATGTGATCATTGCAAATGCGGGTGTAGAGAATATAGAAATTAATATCAAAATATAATGGCGGTAAAATAATACATGAAAAATATAAGCGAATACGGAAACAGTTATTATGTCTTTTCTGGGTTTGGGATATTAAGACCAAACTTGGTACATAAATGTATTCTCCCAAAATAATAAAAATAGCATAAAAAAGTTCTCCCACCCTACCCCCTAGCTGATACGGAAAGGCTGTCACCCTCAAAAACTAAACTTACAGTTTTTTCAATAAAACAGTTGGAATACAAATTTTTCTACATAGGCACTTAAAATTTAAAATTTTTTTGATATAACTTTTCCAAAAATATTTTTGACCTGAACCGTCATGCTTCGGATGTGGGATCTGGAATTTAAAAATAGTTACAGATGACATAAAAATCTAATTTTTGCCACATTTAGAATAGACCTGATTTGTAACGTTTTTGAATAAAAATCTTAGCACCACCATCACCTATAGGAAGATGGAAGGGGTGGCATCCATAAAAATATAATAGAACTTTTTAAATGAATCAGTTGAAATTTACGATTTTTTTACAAAAATATCCAAAATTTTAAATTTTTCCAAAAATATTTTTTAATTTTGGACAAAATTTTCGACCTAAAACTGTCGTATTTCGGATGTGGGGGCTGACATTTAAAAATAGTTTCAGATGAGATAAAATCTAATTTAATCCAAAAAATTTAAAATGTAGATAAAATCGAAGATTTCAACTGATTCATTTAAAAAGTTCTACCTTAATTTTTTTTGGATGCCCCCTCTCCCCCTTTTATCTTCTTATAGATGATAGTGGTGGTAAGATTTTTATACAAAAACGTTGAAAATTAGGTCTATTGTAAACATACCAAAATTTAGATTTTTATCTCATCTGTAACTATTTTTAAATGCCAGCCCCCCCACTCGAACTATGACAGTTCAGGTCGAAAATTTTTCAGGCGAAAAATATTTTTGGAAAAATGTTATCAAAAATTTTTAAATTTTGAGTTCGTATGTAGAAAAAATCGTAGATTTCAAATAATTCATTTAAAAATTTCTAACTTAATTTTTTAGAGATACCACCCCCTCCATCTTCCTCTAGAGGATGGCGGTGGTAACATTTTTATAAAAAAACGTTGCAAATGAAGTTTATTGTAAATTTTACAAAAACTAGCCCCCATATCCGCAATCATGACAGTTAAGGTCGAAAATATTTTTTAGGAATATTTTATCAAAAAAATTTGAAATTTTTGGTTTTTATGTATAAAATATTGGTTGATTTCAACTGTTTTGCTGAAAAAATTGTAACTCTATTTTTTGAAGTTGTTAGCCTCTCCATATCACCTAGGGGGTGGGGTGGGCAAAATAGTTTTATTTGATTTTCATATTTTTGGGATCTATATACCGATTTTGGTCTCAATATCTCGACTTGAACTGCCCTATGCCTAAGAGCCGAAACAGTGAGACTCATGCGCAGTAGATAAAAAGAGTTCCGAAATAATACGTGACGTAAATAGTCAAAATTCAAAATGTATTTATGCTTCGGAGTTTGGACCGAATGGGGCGTAGTTTTTGAAGTGTGATTATTTGCTTTTGTCTCTAGATCATAATAAAATGTAATGCGGGCTATTTTAGAGCAGTTCGGTCCTGTTCTTATCCATTAAGCCTCTCTCCGCCTTATTTGGGCCTTTTATGGCCTCCATTTTTCCGTTACCAAGCTTATTTAATGAAGTGAGTAAACCTTTTGTGAAACGATTATGGTTAGTTATCTAAATCGTCGTGAATCATTGATTTCTAAAATTTGGACGATAAACCTATCCGACATTATCTAGAATTAACCATCGGCACCCAGAGATAACGCATCTGTCTAATAAATGACAAAGACATCGCTATCATAGCAACTTCTGGTGAATGCGCGAACAATTCTAGAAACTCCAAATGTGTTTATAAATAGGCCGCGTATGATCTTATTGTCAGTTCAAACTAGTATATTGATATGATTAGCAGAATAATAATGTTAATATAAATTAGTATACAGGGTGTACCAATAAAAACTTCCAGACCGGGTATTTTGGTAAGTAATATAGATATTTTAATTCTGTAAGAGCCAGTTCACATAGCACTAATAGAGCTTCAGTTTTAGGTATAAATTGATTTTAAATAGGTCAATATGTAGATGGCGTTGCGCTCAATAATTTCTTTTCGAAGGGAGGAACTTTCTTGTGTAGCGCATCTTGTAAAAAATGCATTTTTAGGCTGATTTTTTTTTTAAGAACTAATTCGATTAATCTGGCCATTTTTGATATACAGAGTGGATCACTCAAAACAGTTTCATCCTGTTTTTCAGCATTAATCATTGGATTTTAAGAAAATGCAAAAACAGGTCGATTTTTATTCCAAATTAGAAACATTTTTACAATACATTAATTTTAAATAGGTAATGTAACATGTATGGCACATCATTGAAAAGGTAATTTAATGATTGATTCAGAAATATTTCTGTACATTGCATTACTTAAATTGTATCGCCCTCTAGCGGGATACAAAAACTACTACGTCATATAGAGTGTGACACTACAATGTGTAGTACATCATTAAAAAGGTAATTTTATGGGGAATTTAGAAATATGACTGTTTATTGCGATATTTTTAATTGTCTATCGGGATAAAAAAACTGTACATATTATAAAGTGTGATACCTTATTTGAAAGCAAATTTAATTACTAATTCAATGCACTACATAACATTAATATAAATATTCTCCATATTGCACTTGTAATAGTTTGAAAATTAGTCATGCATTATTTTCAATATAATTGCTAAATTTATTTTGTTGCAAGTGCAATATGGAAATATTTATATTAATGTTATGTGGTGCATTAGATTAGTAACTAAATTATCTTTCAAATGAGGTGTCAAACTTTATAATACGTTACAGGTTTTATATCCAGATAGAGGGCGCAAAAATTAAAATTATCGCAATAACAGTCATATTCTCCATAAAATCACCTTTTTAACGATGTGCCATACATGGTATATTCCTTATGTAAAATTTAGGAGTTGGAGAAGTGGAAGGGAGGAGGTTGACACATGACAGATGTCTGTATTGTAAAAACGTGTTCAGTTTGGAATAAAAATCGACCTGTTTTAGCATTTTCTAAAAATCCAATAATTAATGCAAAAAAACAGTATGAAACTGTTTTGAGTGACCCAGTCTGTACATCAAAAATAGCTAGATTTATCGAATTAGTTTATAGAACAAAATCTGCTTAAAACTGCATTTTTTACAAGATGCGCTATATAAGAAAGATCTTCCCATCGAAAAAATATTGAGCGCAGCGCCATCTACATATTGACCTATGTAAAATTAATTTATATCTAAAACTGAAGCTCTCTTAGCGCTCTATAAACTGGCTTTTACAAAATTAAAATATCTCTATTACTTACCAAAATATCTGGCTTGGGAGTTTTTATTGAGTATAAGTATTGAGTATAAATAAATTAAGCTATAAAATAAATTAGATAAATAAACTAATAAATAAATAAAATCATCACTAGTTTCTTTATTTCCGTTTAACTCTCTTTGAAGTGTTTCTATTTTATTACATCGAATCCGAAATTACAAATAAATCTAAAATCCTTAATTGTATCGGGACCTACCAGGGCCTTTATTTTATCGTCAATAAAAATATTATTGATCTACCTACCCAGATTTTAAACCGCAAGAACACATACTTACCTCTAAATTCAAATTAAACCAAAAATATCGTAATATGGTATAATTAACATGATTGCCTTTTAGTTTTGTCAAGTAGTTAACCAAATTTGGTATAATTATAACGTGTTATAGCTGTTATAGGAAATACATTCAAAACTTATTTTAAACATTAAACTATCTGATGAATATAATTTTAAGGTATGGATTATGTTAAATTAATAAATAAAAACTTGATTTTGAGAAAAGTCGATAGACGGACCGAAAATGAATTATCCTCTTGACATATCTACGTGCAGAGAAATTGTACTCCAGGCGCTCCGCGCTGATCAGCGGTCTTTGTTCATTACTCTCATGATCATATTATACCTTGTTCAATTTCCAATTTCCGTAACTGTATATAAAACAAAATATTCTAATCAAAAAAACTTACCACTGTGCGTTGTATTCGATTCGGCGTCTGCAAATTCCGTTCTCGATCGTTTACAACTATTTTCTTCGGAAGAGGTAGTGTTGTCCATTTTTTCCTGTTTAATTAAAGGTTTTATGTCTTCCTCAGGACTGGAACTCGTCAACGGTGAGGAGGCTCTTCTTTTCGGCGTGGACGATGCAGCTCCATCCACGCAGAGATCGCCTGGTGCTGGAAGCCGCGGAGAAGCCGGTGGAGGAGTGTGGACTCTGCTACCCGTCGTTTTTTTACCTGCAATATAAGATGAATAATGTTTAATTACTTAATTTACTCTTAGCGAACTCCAAAGATTAGGACTTAGGACTTACAGGCCATGAATAACTATTGTACCATTTAGGGCAACTCCCCAGAGTCGTCGCATGGCTATTACAAGACCTATGCTAACATACGGTGCAGCTGTCTAGGTACCGAAAACCCAAAAATTAACAGCTATCCGTAAACTGGAACAAATTCAAAGAACAGCATGTCTCAACGTAAGAGGAGCCATAAAAACAACACCGACCAGAGCCATTGCAGTCATTCTTAGTCTCACTCCCCTTGATATTTACATCAAGGAGGTTGCTCTAACGACAATGACAGGCCTCCGCACAGTTGTCATAGAACCTGATGTAGGATCTGGTGAGGCGATACGTCGCTTTTGGCAGGAGGCGCTCGATATGCTTCCACTGCTTCAAGCGAACATGGACTCCATCTCATTGAGATATATCTTTCATAAGCCATATAGAGTTATAATAGAACAAATAGAAGAGCCGGAAGTGACAGGTACGATTCATATCTATACCGACGGTTCTAAAACAAAACAAGGTTCAGGATGTGGAATATACTCGAGATTCTTAAACCTAAACATAAAATGGGCTGTGAGCAATTGTGCCAGTGAAGTTCAAACAGAGCTAAAGGGGATTCACATAGCAGCAAAAGAAATAACCAGAAACAATATCACTGGAAGGAATATGCTCATCTATGCAGATAGCAGACAAGCACTACTTACCCTGAACAGACTACGAATTTACTCAGGATTAGTACTAGAATGTCACGAAGCTTTGGCCGAAGTATCCATCAACAATGTGGTCACCTTAAGATGGATCAAAGTCACGCCACATTGAAAGGTCTTGCTGGTTCACTAGCCAAGAAAGCAGACAACCAAATACTTTTTGGACCTGGCGCTTCTATTGGCTTGACAAAATCGGTAGTGATAGACCTAATCAAAGAACATTCCTTTGTAAAATTCAAGGAAATACGGGATGAAACAAGAAACTGCAAAGTTGCCAGGGAGCTCTTAAGTTATCCTGACAACACTGCAGCAAACAAATACTTGACTATGACTAGACAGAATCTGACGCCTAGTCACAGGCATTCTGACTGGTCATTGCCAAGTACGAAAGCATCTGCATATCATGGGGCTGTCAGAATCCGCACTCTTACTGAGTGTAGATGGCGATGACTTCTTAATTCACTCAAGCAACATCTAGATGTACGAGTGGCCATCACGCCTGTACAACTTTCATTAGATATTGGAAATGAGAATATTTATTTCCTGCTGATGAGTCCTAATAAGGATGAAACTGGTACAACAATTAATTCTTCTTGATAAGAAAAATAGAAATTAGAGTGTTAAAAATAAGTTTATATATCTATTTCTTTTTTTATATAATATATAACTCAATACCTGTTGTGGTAATAGCGAAAGGAGTAGTAGTTTTCTGGAGGAAAATAATCGCTCAACGTTTCTGTGTACGGTCTTTGAATTTCTCACATTATCTTTTATTAATTATCATTGTGGCTAGACAAATTTCTGTAAACGCTAGACTACACATTTTTTTTGGACAACAATTGAGGATATTAGGATATTATCTCAATAAAATTAAACAATTGTTAAAAAAATCGGCTTTAAAAAAATATTCAGGATCAGAATCCATGCATACAGGTAATGATCTTGACCTATAAGAAAGATTTTTTAAAAAAGCTGGATAAGGTTTTCAAAATATACTGATATTTTAAGAAAAATGGTCCAGAAAAACAAGGTGATTTTTTGAGCCTCCCTAATGGCATAAAGTTGAGATTTTAACGTCTTTGGCGATTCCCATTCATAGTGACAAAACTACGATTTGAAATGTTAAAAAAACTGCCTTATGAAGGTGTTAGAAATCTAGAATGATTTTTTTTTATTTTGCAGAGCCCATAGCCCCTCCAATGTAGAGGCGGTGGTGCTTCTGCTCATATTCCCTTCTTCTGAATTTGAACTTGAATTATTGTAAAATTGTTTTTAATAATCTATAGGTATATCAAAAATTAGAGAAAAAGTTCATTAAGACGACCCTGTCTGATCTCCAATCAACGAAAATAAAACTTACCAGAGGCCTTTTAATACAAAACTTGTGACAGTTTGATATATGTTTACAGCATTTAAAACGAATTATTCCTAATAACATAGCTAAAAAAAACATACCCTTACATTTTCTAAACTTCCAATATTTCTCGATCATTCTGACTATTAGACAACACTGTATTGTCATGACTGCATAAATAATCGATAACGTGCATCGGTTTTTGTGTTAAAATGTTTATATTATATAATTACTTTAAAAATATATTCGAAAAAAAAAAAAGAATTATTCACTCACCAGAGATGGGTGCTGATATGCTTGGCCTTCTACTATTAATCGACGATAGTGGTAAATTTCCATCGTCGGTGTCTCTTTCTTTTTCGTTGTTTGTATAGCATTGACCGAAATTTTCTTTGTTGCAGGAGGTGATTTTGTGTTGGATGAATCGAACGATGTCTGAAAGGGCGAAGGGCTTTTGACAAACGCCGCAGGTCAAGATGTCTTGGTGTGGGTCGCCCTCAACTCCATCTGCATCTGCTAAGACAAAAAATTATTGTTAGTATGAGTTAGATAAAAAATAATAAGAAATATACTAAATGTATTGTAAATAACAAGAAAGATTTGTAAATTTGATATTAATAAAAGCGATTATGTCAATATATTTTTCAAAATTTTTAATTAGCCCTTACACAATTAGTAGTTTATGTAATTAGTTGTGTTTCTGCACATCATTTTTATAAGGTCAAGTTAATAAATTAACGAAACTAGAACCTAGATAATAAGGTACTCTAGGACTTAAAAAACTTAATAATAAAAACTAAAATAAGAAATTACAAACGCTGATATGAAGCTGAAAAAAGGACAATCCAAAGGGCACAAAAAAATAAACGATAAAAAATGGAAAAGACACTATAGTTAGTTAGTGTTTGAGAATACTCTGGTAGGCCACATATTTTCTATTAGATACACAGCAATATTGAAGAGTGTACATGTTGAATCAGACCCCAATCTAAGAGCTATGAAGATAAAGCGTGGAGACCATTAATTAAGTTCGTAGGCTACAGACGAAACACGAGTAACTATACAGTATTATTAGAGTATAAGTATTCTATAACCCACACAAAATACAAATCTAATGAATTAAGTTGTTAAACCTGATGAAACAAATAAGAAAAAACAAGATGAAAATGAAAACCAAACTCTTATAGATGAGGTTAGAAACCCACTGGACCATTCATTTAGTCCACAGCCTACAGAAGACACACGAGTAACTATAAAGTATTGAGTAGTAGTATTCCATAACATACACAGAACACAACGCTAATGACCTGAGTTGTTAAAGCCGATGAGACAAATAAAAAAAAAGATGAAAATGAGGTTCAAACTCTTACAGATGAGGTTTGAATGTGCCCTGAAAACAATCAAATGTTCTGAAATATTTATAAAATTCGAAATTCTATAGGAACTTAAAAATATTAATTGTAAAGAAAATAACAAAAAACTGAAAAGCAATACAGTTTTATCATTGTTGGAATTAAAATAATATCTGAACTAAACTACAAGAAAGATTAAGAAAATGGAATTAATAATAAAATTAGCCATAGAAAAAGATAATACTATAGAATAGAATAATATAGTGTATATCGGTGTTTGGAGATAATATTCATTTGAGCAAGATCAACTATAAATACATATTTATAGATATTGAGATAATTAAAGACCTCTGATAGCGATGATTAAACCTGTAATTTATTTAGAAATATAAGTAGGCTGATGTTAAAAATGTACATCACGAAGTTTGATTACAAATCAAAAAGATGCTGAGAACAAAATCGGTTCGACTGTCATTCGGTAGATGATTGGATTTGTATGCATCATAGCTGGTGACATTGTAAATTAAGAAGCGTTAAATCCGTTACTTTAATTTTTGTAGTCACATTTTTAGTTGTTTCAAAAATTCTAAATGAGTTTTATTTTTTGGAAAATGAAGTAAGATACGAAAAAAAATTTAAGGGACCAAAAAAGTTATATTTTAAATTGCTCTATTCAAAACAATTATGAAAATTGCAAAAATCTACTGGACATTATTATTTTTGTTTAAAATTTCAAACGACCTAAAAGACATCCCATAAAATTATTAAGAAAATATAAAAAATTAAATGAATTCTTAAACATTTTTTAGATTCTAAATAAAAACAGATTTTTTTAATAAATATAACACCTTGTATTTCGAAAATGAAACGATTGTAGACGTATATTTTTATAGATATTCTTTTTACTATTTTGGTCCAAGTACTATTCTCTTAAATTTGTGCAACATATTTAGAAAAAACCTTTAATATGTTTAGGTCTGATTCTTTGAATGTTAGGTTAAAATCAACAGCATCTGGACCTTGTTTGCATTAAACTTAATGGTGAAGTAGAGATTAGATTAGATTTAAAAGGAGTTGGATATTATTTGTCCTTGTTCACCGTGACCTAATCAAATCTATTGAGGGACACCGTTTTTTAGAGTATGTCGTCTAGCTTGGTCTTTATTATTAGACAGTGGCTACCGTGTAAAGTTTCATGCGTTTGGATGTTCTTCGCCTAATCTTAGACGCGTCAGTCTAGTCAGGCCTGCACACTGGCACAGAACGTGGATTGATATTTCCTGTTTTCCTTCATAGTATTGCTGCTTCTGCTGGATTGATGACACTCATGTTCCTTCTTCGGCGGCAGTGTCCGTTAAGAAGACCTAAAATTATCCTAACGATTTGTCGTTTTTATCCAGTAGGTCTTTCGTGAACTTGGCCGATGGTTTCTTGACGAACTGTTTGGCCTATCTCAGTCTTGGATAGTTATTTCACCATTCCTGAGACTCTTTTTGCATCCATTGTTTGATGGATGTATACAATGCCTTAGCAACTCCACAGAAGAGTTCAGGGCCTGTCGTGTCTTCATCTGAGCTTTCTAGGACTAATTCGTCGGCCTTTTCATTGCCCTGATACCCCTCGTGACCTAGCATCCAAGCTAGGGTCACCTTGTTTTGACTACTTAGCTCTGCCAGGTGTTCTAGACAGTCTTTCATCAGTCGTGATTTGATTTCTGGTGAGAAAGTTGCTTTTAAGTTGGCAGTAGATTTCAATAATTATGCCTGATACTTGCTGATTTATCATTTCTCTTGTACACTGTTGTTTGGCTATTAATATAGCCTGAAACACTGTTTTTGTTGCATATTCTCCTAGATTCAGCAAATCGACTTGAGTCCATAGATTCCAGTCCCACTCCTTCCTTGATTTTTGAACCGTCTGTATACCAGCCTGTATGGGAGGTTTCTAGGATTCTTGGACTAGTATTTGAATTTGAAAGTTTCTTTCAAATTTTTATGTGGTTATGGCTATATCAGTAGGTATTCCTAGAACATTATCCTTTTATACTTGCTAATATAGACTCGTATGGTCAGCACTATGTAGTTGGCATATTGGGTTTTGTCCCTGCCTTATCCTGTGAATAACAGACCTGGTTTCTCCTTGTATGAAGATGTGTAGTGACGTGAGGTTTAATAGTACCTCCATTGTTGCAGTTAGAGTAGTACGCATGGCCCCAGTGGCAGATAGTCGATCCGCTGAATGCCAATGAATTGGCATTTTGCACCTACCTACCTACCTGCGCAGTTTTGGTTACCCACGCCACTGCGTTATGGGTTATCATGTGTCTTATCAGCCTGGTATATAATGATATGGTCATTTTATTATATTCAGGTATAATGGATCCTTTGAATATTTGACGGTTAGGTTATCAATTGAAATCATTAAAAATCAATCCACATTTGCCATAAATTAAATGGTGATGTATCTTCATTTATTATTTTTTTAATTTCTGCTTTAATAACTAATATAAATTTAAAATGAAAATATTTGTTTTTTCTATTATAAAAAGTCTTCAACTAAAATTTATTATAAATACAATTTTCTCTAAACACAAATTTTTCGTAATTATGAATAAGTGCATCAAAAGTGACCAGGACAGTACTTTTCCCAGTGTAAATATTTCGCGACTTTTTACAGTACTCAACATCAGCGAAAGCACATCCAATGTGCATCCTTAGCAACAAGGACAATTAAAAATTTGAATCGGGAATAGTGGCTATTCGGTTGAAGGCTAATGGTAAAGGGTCCTTTTATTAGGGGGGTGAAAGAGGTGGTCGCAATGCACGTTGAGTGTCATTAGGACACCCGATGGCGGTAGAGGGTGGTTAAACCCTAATACCTCGCAGCTGTTTTCCGAAATCGATATTGCTAAGATGCAAAATTGTGCGAGCAAAGTTTGGGTTATAAGAAAAAAGTATGTATCTAAACGATTAATTGTTACATATTGGTAATTTATTACTTAGGTACTCAAGATTACTCAATGTAGTTTTTCAAATTGCATTATTAAGCAGCAATAGCAAGAAATAAAATGGATGGTTTAAAAAGTATAATTTCAAAATTGGTATTATATGGGATGTGGAAAATAATGGGTATTAACAAAAGCATCTGTTAATAGTGGAGATTTTTTCTTCCAGTCGTTGGATATTAGGTTTTTCGAACATAAATTCGAAAGTTTCTTTATTAGTAATGATCTATATTTCATAATTTGTTTGTTAGGTAAATATTTTCTTCTTAGTTTTAGAGATAGTTCCCTAGGCTTCTGCTGGAACTTCTTGGTACGGTGATTAAATTAATTAATCGCTTTGTACTGGGCTCTGTCCCGAATCAATAGACTACTATTCGAAGCTGTTCCGTATAGAGTACACCCATAGTCTAATAAGAGACAGCCTATATAAGATTTGTAAAAAAATAAGTGATACAAGCTATATAATTTTAATGTTTATATCTACAATGCATTAGATAAGTTATAAAGTAATGGATTAAGTATTAACTCTTGAGGCAGGCCACTATTTACAGTACTAGGACCATGTAATTGTAATCGCTGATGTAAATTGTTCTAAAAGAGAGACACATATTCTTGGATCGATTCCCATTTTGTTCTTTTTTGAAAATAAAACCTCAATATATACCATATCATAGGTCCTCTTAAAATCAATAAATAAACTAAGTCAATATCAATTTTTTTATTAAAGTAAATTGAATGTCAGTTATTAGTTTCGTGACTGAATCGATTGTTCTGGCGTCTGCGCAAACCAAAAATTTCTTACTGCAAAATGTTCCAAACTTAACTTTATCATTCTTTCAAAGGTCTTAGCTAGACAATACATGAGCAATACTAATATAAAATAACAGCATGCATCATATTTTTTACCTCGTTTGATAAATAATACTTTCTTTTATTTTATCTTATTTATTTTTAATTAAAGTTGGTAATTATACAAACTTTTTTTCATGTTAAGTTAATTCGTAAGAATCTCTTGGGGCTGAGACAGGCCAAGATACTTCTGGGTAAATATAACCAGAAAAGATCGGAAGCCTGCATCTGCCTGAGCAAGATCAGGCTACGTATTGTAACAGGGATCATTACCGGACATTGCCGACTAAAAGGACACCTAAGTAAAC